GCTACAACTGCAGGGCGGGGCCGGGCCGCAGCAGGGAGCTCCGCAGCAGCTGCTGCAGGGCGGGGCCGGGCCGCGACGGCAGCTGCTCCAGGGGCCAGGGGCGGCTGCTGCAGTGGCGGCTGCTCCAGGGGCCAGGGGCGGCTGCTGCAGCAGCGGCTGCTCCAGGGGCCAGGGGCGGCTGCTCCAGGGGCGAGGGGCGGCTCCTGCAGTGGCGGCTGCTCCAGTGGCCAGGGGCGGCTGCTGCAGGGGCTGCTGCTCCTGGAGCCAGGGGCGGCTGCTGCAGGGGCGGCTGCTCCAGAGGCCAGGCGCGGATTAGGTCAGGGCGACGCGGCGAGCAGGGGCGACGCCGCGGGCAGGTGACGACGCGGCGGGCAGGTGACGACGCGGCGGGCAGGGCGACGCGGCGGGCAGGTGGCGACGCCGCGGGCAGGGCGACGCGGCGAGCAGGTGACGACGCCGCGAGCAGGGCGACGCGGCGGGCAGGTGGCGACGCCGCGGGCAGGGCTACGCGGCGAGCAGGTGACGACGCCGCGGGCAGGGCGACGCGGCGGGCGGGTGGCGACGCCGCGGACAGGTGGTGACGTCGCGGGTAGGCGACGACGCCGCGGGCAGGGGCTACGCCGCGGGCAGGTGACGACGCCGCGGGCAGGGCGACGCGGCGGGCAGGTGGCGACGCCGCGGGCAGATGGCGACGCCGCGGGCAGGCGGCGACGCCGCGGGCAGGGCGACGCGGCGGGCGGCGAGAGCCTGCAGGGGCGGCGCGCGGTCGGGCAGAGGCTGCGCGCGGGCCTGACGGGTCTGCAGGGGCGGCTCTCGGGCCTGACGGGTCTGCAGGGGCGGCTCGAGGGCCTGACGGGTCTGCAGGGGCGGCTCTCGGGCCTGACGGGCCTGCAGAGGCGGCTCGGGGGGGGCCTGACGGGTCTGCAGAGGCGGCTCGGGGGCCTGACGGACCTGCAGTGGCGGCTCGAGGGCCGTACTAGCTTGTAGGAGGCAGCGCGAGGGCTACAGGACGGCACTCGGGCAGACCGAAGGGCGGGGCGCGCGAGGGCGCACGAGCAGAGAAAGGCGCACGAGGGCGCACGAGGGCGCACGAAGGCGCACGAGCAGAGAAAGGCGCACGAGGGCGCACGTAGGGTAGGGCGCACGAGGGCGCTTCTAGCTGAATAGTGGGCCCGTAGTAGAAAGCGGTCCTAGGTAGCAACCTAGGCTCGTGATACCATGTTAGAATCTAGAATAGAACGAGAATGGATGAAACTAGGTAGGAGGGGGATACAAGTAGGAAACCCTAACAAAGCTGTACCCCCTAAGGCTAAACCCACTATAGCCTACACAATATAAACATATAATGTTTGACACACACTTCGCTGCGTGCAAAAAGTCGATCTCAGCCGAGGAGACCGCTCGTCTGTTCATCGCAGCCGTTGTTCGCCTGCACGGGATACCAGCAGCGATTATCAGCGACAGGGACACGAAGTTTACCAGCAACTTCTGGAAAAATCTCTGGGAGCAGTTCGAGACCAGGCTACAGTTCAGTTCGTCGTACCACCCCGAGACCGACGGTCAAACGGAGCGGACGAATCAGACGATGGAGCAGTTGATTCGTGCCACGTGCGACGACCCCACGACTTGGGAGCAGCAGCTGCCGCTGATCGAGTTCGCGTACAACAATGCCACGTCAGCGACGACGCAGCAGTCCCCCTTCTACCTGAACTACGGGCAAAACCCTACAGTGCCCATGACGCCGAGTCCGGACAACCCAACACCACGTGCACAGCAATTCGCCGAAATTCTGCGAGCTGCCCGCACCAGAGCCGCAGAAGCAATTAAAAAAGCAAACGTCATCGCTAAGCGCAACGCTGACCGCCACCGCCGCCCAGTCACATACCAGTCAGGGGATTACGTACTGCTCGACACGCAAAATCTGCGACTGCCCGACGTACCAAAACTTCGACCGCGCTACTGTGGCCCGTTCCAAATCAGCCACATGATCACGCCAGTAACCGCGCACCTACTGTTACCGACCGACTAGTACATCAGCCCTTCGTTCCATGTCAGTTTGCTTCGCCCCTACATCCCAACCACAAGCCAACTACCTCGCCACCGCCCGCCATCCATGACTCGCCCTGCCTCGGAGCCGATCATCGCGCCCGAAAAAAATCCTGAGCCATCGGATTCGACACCCCACGGGATTCAAGAGGGTTGAATTCCTCGTTCGCTGGAAGGATCGCACGCCAACTGAGGACAGCTGGGTGCCCCTGGCCAACATCGAAAACCACCCTGCCCTGCAAGTGTACATGAGGAGCCGGGGCTTCCGCGATATTCACGCACTCACGTAGCGGAGGGGGCTTCTTGAGGGGGGGGGGGGGGGGGGGGGGGTAGTGTAAGGAATTTTCTCAATATTCCTTAGCGCACCCTGCAACATCGCGTACAGCAGCAGCCGTTGTTCGCCCGTTACTGCTAACGGGGCTTCGCCGACTTCGTGCGCGCTGTTTCACCAAACCTCGCACTGCAGGCCTGGCCGTGTCGGCCTACGCTTCGGGACTAGCCCGAGCCTCGCTCCAGCGTAACACTAGCTAGCTCGCACGCACCTCGTTACCGTTTGCATGTTTCGCGTATAAATGTTCGCTCATGCCTTCGCTCACATTTTGTACTCGTTTGACACCTTAGTGCAATTCTCGCTACTTCGATCCATTGCACCCGTAACAACTAGAAATGGATGTGTTTATGTATATTCCAAATGAGTTATTCGGTGAAGGAATTCGTGCTTAGCGAGTGCTGAACAATAATGCTCGGCAGAATCATCAACGACGCAACCATCATACCCTGCATGTGGTTGGAACTTGGATGTGAGTTGGAAGTATATCCGATGCACAGAGCCGGAACTCGGCTTATCACCTTGGCGGCTCGGGTTTTGTGGCAGATGCCACGCTGGAAGAGGTTGTCAGGCTTGTCCAGGTCTGCAGTCAAATTGAGTAGCCAATAACCAACCTTTGCGACTGGGGTGGAAAGCAGCAGATTGCAGAGCTCACCTGGCCGTGGTCAGGGTGACACGTTACGGAAGAGATGATTGGTTGCCGCCAAAGGTTGCGAATGCCAGATTGGTTGGAAAGGGGACGCCTTCCCGCCGACTCCTCTTCGCGCAGTCAATCGACGTGTGAGATCCCCACAAGCTTCTTCGCAACCAGCCAGAAAAGTTATCGCGGAATGAAAGGGTCGTGAATTGGTTGCAGTAGCATATTTCAGCTAAACTTCGAGAGCTGTGTAGCGTATTTTAGTTAAACTTCGAAAGCTGTGTAGCATATTTTAGCTAAACTTCGAATGCTGTGAACCTGTTTGGAGCAGAACGGGTGTAAATTTATACTAATATTGAGCAGAATGTTTGTTGCGCCAGCACCATCCTATCCGTCTGGCGGCTGTTGTGGACTGCCGCCAGGTGCACCCTACCTGTCAGCGACTTTCTTCTGCGATTGATCCCATGGCATCGTAAGAACGACGCTCATTGGGTGTTACATTTTCCAGGCAGTCTGTCTGCGGGGGCTGCCGCCGAGCCGTTCGGAGAATTCGTGCTGGCGAAGATGTCATGGCGGCCGACAGGTTTGCGTGGGTGAGCGGAGGGGAAGTTCGAACCGCATTTTGCGGTGACCTCTCGTCTCGTCACCCTCCTGGCCGCAAGTGCCCGAGAGAGGTGAACGGGCATGCAGGTTGCAAGCCACTGATAACTGTGCCGAACCGAAAATCCTGGACGTCGCACGCGTGTCTGCGACGTTGTCATGTACAACCAGGCTCGGCAGGAAATTTCTTTCACCCAGTTTGGTCCTGCGGCTGCGACGACAGAAGGCGGCATCGCGTAGTTTTCGGCTGACGGTGGTGCCCCCTCCCCCAATCTGAGTCCTAGGCATTATCCACCGCCCAACCGCCAAGCGGACGAACTTCCGCCCTTCCGCAACCCAAGACTTTCCAGTCCTCAGCGGATTGCGGTGTGCCCGTGCCTCCACAACACAGCGCACATCGTTGCGTCCCGCGTACATCTGCTTCCCTGACAGTGCACGAATCCCCGAAATTATCGAGTCGCCTAAACTTTTCCGGCATCTCATTCCGTCGCACACGACTTCACGCCCACTCCCCTTTCCTCAAACCCAATCACCTGATTGACGGAATATCCTCGCTTTGCTGCACCGCCTCACCCAACCACACACCTGCCCACACGTGCTGACGAATCACAAGTGTTCGCGCGGCTTGCACCTTGCCTTGCTTGACGTCCGTCCGTCGCCATGTCACACCAACCATCCATCGCAACTCAAACCATTTCCTAGGAGGTCGCTCTCGCAGAACCTTCCGTAACCAGCCCAGCCGGAATCTCCCCCCAGCTGCCCATGAAAATCCCTTGTCAGCCCCCGAATCCGCCAAGATGCCCGCGGAATTCCCAAAGAACTCCCTGACGTCCCCCCATTGGTCCCGGCGCCGAACCAGCAGCATCATTCCGCCTTTTCCCCCGCGTTTCGATTGATCCCACCTGGCCCTGTGACGGCGTCACTTCCCCGTCTTCCATTCGCCACGCCGCCAGCCGTCAATCTGTCGATGGGACGAAATTCGCTTCCCTCAACGCCCACCGCCATTTCATCCTCCCTCCCTCCCTCCCCTTTCGTCGCCTTCCCTTCCCCGCTGGTTCTGCTGCCGAGCGCGCTGACTCACTCCCCCTCGTCGCACGCAACAGAGCTGCGCGGACCGATCCACTGTGCTCCCAACTCAAACCCTCCATCGGTGTTTTCCCATCTCATCCAAGCTCTCCCACCAAAAGACATCAGATGCGTTACGTGCTCCAGCCAATTTTCACTTGCTCAGTCACATCCGAATCCTTGAACTCTCATCTCAGCTAGGACGCTGCCTTGAGGAAAAAAAAAGGCTGCGCTACGCCTTGCATATCTAATAAATCTTCCACTCCGTTGGCTTCTTGAAGCGGCAGATTCCCTACTTGCTGCAGATCGAAGCCATCTCACATCATGGCGGGTCTTTCATTAGACCTCTCCCTCAGCCTTCTCTCCTCTGCACCTTCCTCCTCTCCGGTCGAGGCCGTCACAAACCTACGGGATTCTCTCTCCAGCCCGCGCATGGCGAAGCGCCACTGCCAAACAGATCTTCGTCAGTCGCAACCGTCGCACGCCATCGCGCTTCCCATGAGGCATGTGCCGTCGCCAGGTCTGTCGCTCGCAAGCAGCCTTGACGCGGAGACCGCCACCGAGCCCGCCGCTGAGCCCGTCGCAGAATCTGTCGCCGCGACGTCGCAGAGGGATAACGTGAATTCTTCCTTTCACCTTCTTGACTCATCTCCCTCGTCGTCGCCCCCGTCTACGGGCTCCTTCTCCCCCTCATCCCGCGGTCCTTCCGCCTTCACCGCCCTCGCCTCCCTTGCGCACGCTCCACCGTCCCACTGCCTGCCGGCGCTCACCCCGGCGCCTCCCTCCACTCCGCCGCCGCCGTCGCACCAGCACCGTGGTTGGTTCGGCTCCGCCAACCCCCCTGCAAGCTGCCCTCCCGCGATCTGCCCTACTGCAAGCTACCCTCCCGCAAGTTGTCCTCCCGCCGCGGAAGCCGTCTGCGTGACTCGGCTAACGATGCCGCCCTCCGCTTCTTCCTCTGCTCTTGCCGCCCCGCATCTGGCCACGTCACACTCTCAGCAGTCAACAGCTCCTGCGGCGCCATATGCACCAGTGAATCCCAGCGCGGATGCGGGGGCCGCTGCAGGTCCCGTCGCGGCTCCAGCGCACCCTATTGTCGCGGGAGCGGCGCCGATGGCTCCGACGGCGGCGCCGGCGCCGCCGGCCGCTGCGCCGGGTCCGAAGAAAAGGAAGAGCATGAAGGACCGGAGGTTCCGCGGAATTCGCGAGGTAAGGAAGCACATATATATCATGTATTTTTCGCATCGACATAAACGGCGGATTTCGAGATCGGATCTAGCTTCTTGCGCACCTCTTTTTCATTCTTTCTTTTTCTCTCTCGTCGTTTTGCTCCTTCGTTCTTGTGCTTGTTCCGTATTCTAAAACTTGTTTTTTTTTCGTTGTCTGTCTGTTTTGCAGCGCCTGTGGGGTCGCTGGGCCGCGGAGATTCGGGATCCCCGAACCAAGAAGCGGATCTGGCTCGGTAGCTTCGACACTGCCGAGGCTGCAGCCCGAGCCTACGACGCAGCCAACCTCCGGCTCCGAGGAGCCAACGCCCGGACCAATTTTCCCCAGCCTGAGCAGCTGGTTGCCTCGGAAAACAATCCTGCCGCACCTGGCCAGATCGAGGCTCTGCCGACTCCGATGCTCGAGGAGCTAAGTCCAACCGCCGGATCAAGCTCGGATGGTGACGGCGAAAACATCGCGGGCGGGGAATCGTCCGCGTTACAAGAGGAGGCGGATGTGGTCGCAGCTGCGGATAGCCTGTCCCTACTCGCCGCGGCGGCGCTTGCGGAAGAACCTGCTCCCGCGCCTGCGCCCGCTGCTGTGCCCGCGCCCGTGTCTGCGCCTGCGCCCGCTCCTGCGCCTGCCCCCGCTCCTGCGCCTGCACCTGCCGCGATAGCAGCACCTTCAGCAGCGCCAGTCGCAGCGCCGGTGGCAGCGCCAGCTGCTGTGTCTCTCTCCCCTGCAGCTACTATCGCCTCTCGTCCCACCCCCATCGCCCCAGCTCCCGTTCAGTTCTCCTCAGGGCAAGCTGCGGCGTACCCGTTTGTGGCTGTTTCGCAGTGGCAGTACAACGCGCAACGCAACCCCCACCAGCAGTACAGCAACAACGTGCAGCAGTACCCCCGCGCGCAGCAATACCCCCACTCCCACTCCGCCCAGCCGTCCTACTACCATTCGGCGCAACCATTGAACTCTCGCTCCGCGCCTCACCAGCAGCAGGCTGTAGCGGGAGCGCAGCCGGCGCTAGCCGTCCCAGCGACCTCCCCCTACCCTACCTTCCCCGGGTCCTGGGGACATCCCAGCCATCCCAGCGCATCCGCCCAGTACCAGCAGAGCCTGGCTCCGCTGTCCGCGTCCGCCTCCGCGCAACACGTGTCTCTCTCCGCGCCTGCGTCCGCCGCGCTGGCTGCTGCGGCAGCCGTGCCTTCGCACCGGTCTCAGGCGGCGTACCCTGTGTCGCAGCATCCGCCTCCTCCCAGCACAGGTGCTCCACGCACAGTGGTTGCACAGACAGTAGTCACTCCGCGTACTGTCACTCCGCACACTGTCACATCACATAAAGCGGCGCCTCTCATGGGGCTGCTGCAGCTCCCCAAGTCTCTCACTGGACCAGTCCCAGCCGGCCAGCTGGCAACGCCGGTGGCAGCAGCAAGGCCTGCTGCTGCTGCTGCTGCACAGGGAGCGATTATTGTGAAAGCATTGCCAGGACCAGCAGCAAAGTCGACAGGAGCAGCAGCAGGAGTTGGAGCCATGTGCACATCTTTGGTTCCCCAGGATCAGTCGCCGTGCACATCTGTCCCTCCATCGGCCTCTCTGCCTTCTCACTCATCAAGCAGCAGTAGCTATGCTGGAGGCTCGGGTGCGGATCAGTGCACAGCTGCATCTGCTGATGGCACAGTTGCTGTTGTGGATGCGTCCACTGCTGTGGCTGCTGCTGGAGCTGATGGTGCTGCGCAGAGCGATAAGAGCGGAAACAAGAAAGACGGCCGCACTCGGCTTTTCCGTGGTGTTCGCCAGGTAATTTTCTGAGCTTCACTGCGTTTTTTATTTGTCCCTACATCTGCTGTACCGTTTGTCTGATTTGATATGTGTTTGTGGTGGTTGGGTTCCTTATCCTAACGGTCTTTTCTTTGCTGTGTTTCTCTCTCCTGCAGCGTCCTTCTGGTAAATGGGTGGCCGAAGCCAGGGACCCTCACTCGCGCCGTCGCATCTGGCTTGGAAGCTTCAACACCCCAGAAGAAGCTGCCCGGGCGTATGATGCCATTTCGAGGAAGTTCCGGGGATCTGCTGCCAAGTGCAACTTTCCCGAAGGAGCTGATGGGATTACTGACAACAATGTTTTGTTGACTGAGCTGATGGATGTCAGGGGCCGATCCATTGCTCAGGCAGCATTGACATTTGAACGATACGGACCCGGTGGACGGAGACCTACATACAAAGACCCAGCACTGCAAGCTAGTGTTCCTAACAGTGTTCCTAACAGCGTACCTAACTGATAACCGTGAATCTTTGTTTGTGACCGTAATCTTCAAGAGTACCTTTTCCACGAGTTACAGGGCACTCAGAAGTTAATTCACGAGGTATTCAGTTGATATTGCTCAATTGGGTAAGCTACGTATTAAGCAGCAATGAATGCTAATGTAGAAAGTCCAATACACTGCCTGCCGCGCTAGGGCGTGATACCACTGTAGTGCGGTTTGCGTAGTTGTTTGGCGGTACGGTATGGTACAACTGTGCAAGTATGAATTTGTAGGACGTTCCCTTGAAATGTACGTGCTCAAACAAGTCAAAAGTTCAACCCTTCGAATTCCACAAGCTTCCTTTGAAGTTGTCGCTGCTCGACCCTGCTTGATGAAGAATCGATGGCCTCCCAATTTCGAAATGACAAGCCAACGGCAAGCTCAAGGTTGGCTATGCTCCCGTTTTGTCAGCAAAAGTAGACCACCTCTGTTGACATGTAGTCGAATAGCTCTAGTAATTCCTTACATTCTCCTGCATCCCTCTGTTCATGCTCCGTCTCGACCAAGTTAGCTGAAGACACGACTCCAGCTCATTGCTTGTCTATTGGTTAACCATGTTCTACTCAAACTCCTTGCTTTCGAGGAAAAGCCCTCTCGGCCAAATATGGTACGGTTCAGAGTCCACAAGTTTGTTGCTGCACGTCATGCTTTCGGCCAGCTTAGCAAACACCTGTTTTGCCTCAACAGGATTGCCGCTATGATGCAAGGAAGCATAAACCGGAAAAAGGCTGCACTTATTGACATTCGAGACATCTGCGCCCGGATTTTAGAGCCTGAACTTCCACTTGCTCTCCGTCTCTCCGGGATTCTAATGGGTATAAATTGACGCACGTGTCTTTGAAATCGCGTCCAGGGACACGATACTGATTGCATATGGTCTGTTCTACAGGTGGTGCGGTCATTGTGTATTCAAAGAAGGTCACGTTTCTTCTGGAGGATGCCAAAGCTTTCATGGTGGGAAGAGTTTTTTATTCTATTCCGCTTCGCGTGTGAGAAAATATGACTAACGCCGCGGTGCTTTTTGCGCAGGCAAAGATTAACGCGGCCCTGGTTGTGAAGCGAGATGACAAAACGCTGCCGAGGGAGAAAGGCCAAGCAAGGTTGGTTGTTTGACCTATAGATATATTTATGTTGTTCTCGTTATTGCAGCTAACCATTAGCGTCACAGATTTGAGAGTGTTACGGTAGACTACCAGTTTGGTAGCTTCAACGTTGACGTCACTCTTGATTCTGGTCGTGCCCCTGGGGACCAGACAAATGTAAGATGCTCCCAGGCTTTTCTTGTAAGCAAGAATGCAACATCCATTCTCAATCATGAATGCATTTTTCAGGAGTTCTTTGTACTTCCTCAACCAGAAGTTGCACGTGATGGCCGAAATGAGCACACTTTGGGTGAGCCTGCAGTCTGCACTTGCTTAATTTGAACAGTGGGCTTTCGGCTTAAGCTAACTCATTTGATGTTCCAGCGACACCTGCGGACATTACCCTTCCGGAGTTGCAACATGACAACGAAGGCTTCACCAGGTGAGATTCGAAAGTTGTTGAGACAGCTGTTCCTTTTCAAATGACTTATCTACACATGCATCCGCAGGTTTGGGGTTGATGATCAACCACCTATGACATTCCAAGACGAAGGTGCTGCTGACGCTATGTGGCAAGATATTTTGAAGGGTAAACCCAGCTTGCTGTTTGTCATGTGTGGACGATCCTGAAAATGTTGTTGTTTCTAAGTTGCGCTCTGAATCTAAATTCCAGGAATGAATTCGCCAAAGCCGAGCACCCCTCAAGGACCTCATCCGGAAACCATCATTGAAGACCAGCAAGAAGCAGGCCAACCACAAAATATTCGGGATCAGACTGCTGCACCTGAGTCGGTATGTAATGGGTTCGCTTTTACTGGTATCGCATTAAGCATTGCAGTCTAATAACGCTCCCTGCAATGTGGCAGCCTGAACAAAATGAGGCTCCAAAGCGAACAAGGCAGCTTAAACGGAAGGCGCGTCCAAAGAAAGTTGTTATGGATGAGGATAGGACAGAGGTGGCCCCGATGGAATTCAACCGATGGCTGCAAGACACGTCAAAGATTATTGGAAGGGTGAAGAAGGTATGACCGGATTGTGAACCTTTCCCAGCATGTGGACCAGTTCTAATGTTTCTGCCAAATCCAGGATCGGAAGGCGCTTTTGGAGAAATCCATTGAATCTCTCATTGACCTTCCCTTGACTGGAAGTATCACTATGGACGGGTTTGTAGCTTCCAGATGGTCCAAAGGAATGCTGCGGACGTGGAACAGATATGTACGAAAGGACACATTCAGAAGCAATCCTGAAACAGACGGTAGGTGTCGTCAACTTCCACATCCATTGTTTTTCTATGGACTTTTCCTTGTTTTGAATCAAAGTGGTCTGACCTTTGCAGAGATGCATGCCTCGAAGAAAGCTCGCATGGAAAGTGGAAATGATAAGGTACCATAACCATACTCCACAGTTTGATTCTGCAATACTTTCTCTACCTCCAGATCAGTAACAATTGTTTGACCTCGCAGGACCCTGAGATGCCAAATCAGGCCATGCTTGATGATTTCGGATCTGCTGAAGCTATGCGGGAAAGAAATGAGACGCCAGTAGTGGCAGGAAATGGCGTAAGACGTGATGACGTGACTCCACCTGCTCAAGGTTGGTCATTGTGTCGTGTCGTCACCTTATTGCACAAGCTCCGTCCATTTTCTAACACTTCGCCTAACACCCTGCAGGGCTTTTGGATCTTGAACGAACGAAGAACTCTTCGGGTGGGGTCCCACTTCCAATGGAGGAGGAAAATCAACCAGACTTCTATAGAGGGTGAGTCCGACTTCTGCACTTGGTTGCAGTATAGTTGCTGCTTTGTTCCTACTAAGCCACTTGAACTGTGATCTTGCAGAAACCGGCCTCAAAACATAGCAGATTTCTTGATGGAAGGCTCGCCACAGATTCCTCAAAACTTGGCTGATGATTTGACTGCTCAATTTCCCGGGCAGAGTGCTGAAAAGTTTTCTTCCAAACATAGCAGCAGTGGACTGCGAGGTGCACTGAGCCAGTTTGGTGAGTACCTTTCCTGCTTTTTGCGCTCCTTTGTATGGAATCGTATAGAAAGCACTCGTATATTTCAGGTGTATCTGAGCCCCTGCAAGAAACGGATGCAACACAGACACAATTCCCTGCAACTTCCATTGACAAGAGGACAGCATCTCTTGCTGGGTAAGCGGGACTATATCCCTCTGTAACCATTGCTGGCTGAATGTGTCAGTCACTCAGGCTTTGTGCTTGCAGATTTTTCCGTCAGCAAGTCTTCAGCAATCCAGAAATAAAATTCGCATCACTGCATGAACTTCTAGCAGACTGCAACAGGCAGCAAGCAGCCCGCATCTTTTACCAAACATGTGGTAAGTCTAGCACACCTTTGCCCCTTGACGTGATGCCAATACCTGCAGCCTGCTTTCATTTTTCATGCCCAACAACTTCGTTCCTTGGCAGTTCTTGCAACGATGAACTACCTCAAGGTCAAGCAAGCCACTCCCTACAGTGATATTGAGATCCTTGCGGGAGGATTTTTGTGAGAGCCCCTACTGTCAGCGAGAGTTCATGCACGGTGGATATCATTGACGCTCCTGTATCACTTATTTGAAATGATGTCCATGTCTTACTATTATATTAAAGAAAAAAGAACCCTTCACCTGAAGGAGCAGTGAGTGCCATCAAGTGTCCAAGCATGATCATGCACTAAGCAGCCAAAACTTACATCCCATGTGCTGATACCGAACATGGATAGGAACCTGTGAATTCAAGATTCTTCGAAGGAATCGTTCAGAATTTAGATTGAAGTAACAAATATTTAGAATCCTTCATGCATGCTCAGCTTAGCAAATGTGCCAGCATGAAACCGCATTTTGCACATCAGAAGAGCAACTTAGCCCTCATAGCTGCCCAACTCCCCAACATACTCTGCCACATCATCCATTGCCAGTCGCTCCAAATCAAATGACTCTGCCAACTGGACCACAGCCACACCCTCCTCTCCTCTCCTTTCCAGAAGTTTCCCAACCTGCCCTTGGTTCGCGCCACAAAGAATCATAACGCGGCCACCTTTCTTCGGCAGAGCTGTTTCCATTTCCTGCTCCTTCAATCCCTGAACCAAGTTACCTCTGCTGCTGACTCCATTCCCACTCCTTTCACCAGTTTCTGATGACCCGGAATCTAGCAGCACATCACACGTCGTTGGCGTGACAACATCGACAATCGTCCCCTTCTTCAAGTAAAGCCTTCCCCCATGTATGCGCTTATCCACAATGCGCACTCGGATATGCGGCATCAACCACGGTCGCCGACGGGGAGGAGGAGGTGAGAGGGATGGTTCCCGTACGGCCCGTTGCCTAGTTGATGCCTGTTCACGCTTGTCTTCTTTTCTGCTGCTCTTCTCCTTGTCCATTCTCCTTTCACGGCCAACCCCCCTCTCACTGTCCCTGTCCCTGTCCGTGTTCCTATCCCTGTCGCTGTCCCTGATCCGGTCGCGCTCATTCACCCTGTCCTTTTCTCTCTCTCTCTCCTCGCCTTCATGTCCATCCGATTCACCACCTCTTTCTCTGTCCTTTCCCCCCTTCCGCTCCCGGTCTCTGTCCCTGGCCACAGACCCATCACCTTTCCCTTTCTCAATGCGCTTCTCAACCTCTCTCCCTCCCTCCCTTCTCCCTCTGTTCCTCTCTCCCTCCTCTGTCTCCTCCCTTTCCAATGCCTTCCTCCTCCCTGCATGATCATTCACTTTCACCTTCCTCTTTTCCCCAGCCCCCTCACCCCGTATCCTCTTCATTGCCTGTTCTTCCTCCCACGACCCCATATCCGCCACCTCCTTCCCCTTCACTACAATCACCTCCTCACTACTCACAAGCACCAGCCTCACCTGAACCCCCTTCCCTTCTCCCAATTCCACCACTTCAAGAACTTCCCCGGTCAACCCCTCATGCCGCCCCTCTACTATCCTCATCACCTTCCCCTTGGCCGGCCCAGGCCTCACCCTCTCCACTAGCTTCTCCGAAATCGGCTTCACATGCCGAACCTTCCCGTCTGGTCCGACCGAAGCTACCAGGTCCGGCTTGGGCCCTCGGGTCTCCCCGGGCTTAATCAGCTTCTTGTTATTTTCCAGCAGCTTTGGAGTAGCCCCTAAACCCAGGCGTCCCTGTCTCGGAACAAACTCCACAGGTTCAGCCAATCCCTTGGCGTTGCGACCAATAGGCTTGCCTTTCTGCCAACCCATCCCCGTTAAAAGCGCAACTCCAAAGTCCTCTACAGGCATCGACTCGTAATCGTCCAAATTAGATTCGTCTGGGAGACGATCAAGATCCTCCTGTAGCTTCTGCGTTTCAGGATCCATAATTGGCCGTTTATCCCGATCGTCAAACCTTTCCGGAGCAGATCTGACGGTCAAACCGTATCGAACGCCACCAGAAGCTTCGTCCGTTCCATCAGCATCCTCTTTTCCTTCCCCTCCGGGTAATGATCCCGCAGTACCCATATCAAACTTGTTTTCCGGACCTCCCATAATCTCCTCCATTTCCGGATTTACGCTCTTCATCCGCTTCTCTGGCTTCCACGTGTCCTCTAGCGGGGAGATAATCTTCGGCCCGCGCTTCGACTTAGACTCGTCCTTAGCTACCAAGCCGGTGAAATCGACGGCGGTGATCAACTCGCGCTGCTCGCTCTCCTCGTCCTTCTTCTCCTGCGTCTTCCGCGAAACCTTCGCCGAGCCTTTCATCTTGCCTAAAGAGAATTTCATTGGCGCTGATTTACCCTCCTTAAGACCTTCCATAGTCTCCTTTTGGCCGTTCGTAGCCATCTCCTCCGAGTTCGCGGAGGGTTTCTTAATCCCGTCGATTTCCTCGCCGCCCATATTTTCCTGTTGCAAACGCAGATGGTGTAACTAAGATGGACACTCGAAAGAAGGGAAAACGAAGAAAGAACAGAAGCTCGAAAAGGGAAGTGGAAAAGGAGAATAGGGGAGGACGACTAGTGAAGCCCTGTCAGCCCTGCTGCTACGGTCAACGTGAAGCTGAGCTCGTGTCACCGAAGAAAGTTCGATTCAGTACGGTTCAGAATATTTATCCATTGTGTAGGGTGGTTTGGGTACGGTATTGAGCATAATCCAATTCTTCGCGACACAGCCAGAGGTGCGTGGTGGTTGTGGTTGGAGGAGGGAAGTGGCTTGTGAGAAACGAACCACCAGGTTCGGAAAACCTGCCCGTACTTCCGCTGGTGGTCAAGTGCGTTTCCAGCAAGATCCCACACGGTAGACAGTGGTTCTCTTTTCCGCCGTCCAACCAAACAAGCAGAGTGGTTTGGAAACGAACGCGCAAAATGCCCTTCACAAGTCTGGTAACCAGCCTCCTTAGACGCTAGGGTGCAATTTGCGCGGGAAACTTGGTACTCTGACACAAATCGTTCGGTCCAGGCACGAAGAGCACCCATCTGCATACTAAAATATTTGAGACTTGGATGAGATTTCCTTGAATCCCTTTTCCTGGCCCGTGACCCATCTGCCTTCTTTCCACTCGCTTTCCAGCTTGTCACGAGCAAGAGGTAGTCCTAACCTGAGATCATTTCTCGAGATGCGGTAACCCTTTTCGCATCACGCGCGCATGGCTCTCGTCCGCACCTTCGTCGGCACGTTCCTGGCCAACGTGGTGTTTTATAACAAGGCCGTGACGAGCTTCTTAGCGGGGACGGTGGTGGGGATATACGTCGGACAGAATTACGACGTGCCGAATGTAGAAGAGAACGCGCGCAAGTGAGTCTTTTGAAAAGGAGAATATAGAGAGTTCTTGTAACGCTATTTGTGATTATCGTCTGCGATTGCGACTGGAGGAAACCACGTGATGGTGGGCCGTTTTATAATAGGGCAGCTCGAACAATGATGAAGAGAGCCGGAATTTCGTACATGCCTTGTTTGGTCGGAGGTGGGGAGGGAGGCGTGCGAGCGAACCCGGTTTTGACGTGAGCATGGATCGTGTCAATGAGGAGGTTCGATTCCTTTGACTCGTTCTAGAAGGGAGTGTCATGAAGGTGAGGAGGGCTTGTCGTGGTTGGAAGGGTTGTGCGCCAAGGTTGGGGGGAGTCTTCCGGCTGTGGAGGGTTTTTCAGTTGTATGGGGAAGGGCTTCAGGTTGGAGGGGAAGTTTCAGGCTGGTGTGTAGGCTTCAGGATAAGGGGGAACTTTCAGGCTGGACATGGAATCTTCAGGAGGTGTGGTGGGGGAAGGGGTTTCAGAAGGTAATGTGTGGGATACGATAGCACCTCGTTTGGATCTTATGGGGGACATGTGGGTGGATGGGAGGGTGGAAGAAGCTAGGTTCGGCGTGAACATGCAACTGCATGACCTACCGATAATAATGATGCATGTGCCTCAACAAACCCATGCATGCGCGTCAATACATTTGTGTTTAATTCCATCCATGTGCTTCAACCCCATGCATGTGCGTCAACCCCATCCATGAGTGTCAACTCCATCCATGTGTGTCAACCCCATGCATGTGCCTCCACCTCCCCGCTCCTATCCATGTCGCTGGTTGCCAGTTGTACGGTATGATGTAACCAGGATAAATTCCCTCTGCCAACTCCTTACCATGTGTGTGCAATTTCCCACTCCTTGCTGTTGTCTCTTACACGTATGTCTGCTTTTCTGTATTTATTTCCTCCTTGTCTTCCTCAGAGTCCTTGCATATGCTCAAGAATTACATGACAGGTACCGCAGGCAGCCGTAACTGCGTAACTTGTTTGCTTAGGTTCACATACCGGTAGGAGTGTGCATGTATGTACTGTATGTGTGATAACTGTGACTTTTTGCCAAGACAAGGTAATTGTTTGGAACACGTGACAGAGCCAGCCAACCTACCGTAAGAAATTTTCATGCTTCAGCACCTTGGCAGATGGCCCCATTTTGTGACCCTTGATGAAAAAATATCTGATCTCTTAAGACAACAAGAGCAGTCAACTCCTCACCTTATAGTGCTAGTAAACTACATTGCCAACTTCTCTAGCTACCGTATCTGAACTAACCATTGCCACAAAGCAGTTACAGGTTGGTTACTTGACCCTGGGCTATGAGGGAGGCCATGCTCGTTGCTCAGGTTACCCTACCTGCTGTCTGGTTACCCTGTAAACTAGGCTCGCAGCTTCTCACTGATGCAGCTGCCAGCTTCAGCTTGCCAGCCAGTCAGCAGCAATCTATTGCTGCTGCACTGCAGCTTATTGCCTTTCCAGACAGCTATGTCCGTCCTACAAATCCCCACTACCTGGATCCTGACAGGTGGGAGCCTGTTGCTTGAAAGGTGCCACATGGATTGACATTTGACTTCTGCCTGTTTTCAGGCAGCCCGTCCAGCTCCGCTGCTTCAACTGTGTAACTGGAGTGCAAATCATCACTTGCTGTCAGCCTCGCTGCCTCATCCCAGCGACTTTACCGAAGCGTGCCGTTCATTAGAAGAACACTCAGGCTTGTTATTGAGGAATGATTGACAGAGCTGCCTCGATGTCTTCCATCGTTATAGTCACAAGCTCGTCCATGTCACAGCAGTCAAGATCCAGCCGTTCATCCAGTCGATCCCGAGCGTCCATTAGCACAGGCAGCGCCATCCCACCGTTCCTCTGCCTTCGCTGCTCCTCTGTGGTTGATCGGGTGATAACAGCAGCTAGGGACGATGGAGTTATGCTGGAATGCAACCTGCAGTGGAGAGGGGAATACAAGACAGAGAGGGAGAGGAGTGAGGAGGAGGATGGAGGAAGTGTGTAAACAGTATGACCAAAATGCACATACTGGAAATGGATGTGTGCAGAGATGGTCAAGTTTTACAAGTAGTTTTGTACTTGGTGGGACCAATCATTACCTGAATCCTGCAAGGGGCGACTGCTGACTGGCTTCACTATAGTCACTGTTGCTGCTGCCACTGGCTCTTGCTCCATAGTCACTTCCGCTACCACTGCTGCTACTACTACTGCTGATAGCACAGTCACCATCACTCTCATCCCCGTTAGTAGCTTCCCCAGCCGCCTGCTTCATTTTAAGCAGCATGACTTGCGCAATGTCGAGTGGAGAGAGATCATCAAACACGAATACTCGTGACACACGCCGCTGAAACCCTTCGTTCACTGCAAAGACCCGCTTCATCGGCTCAGCATAGCCTGGAATGGAGGGAAGGACAGCAGGGGAGAAAAGGTAAGAGAAGAAGAGTATAGATGAAACACTGATGCATATGTAAAGCTATCAATAAGTAACACTACACAAGTACTGAAATGTCCAGTATTCCGCTGCTTCCCATCAATCCAAGCAACCAACACTCACCGGCGAAAATCACAACAACGCTGCCCGAGTCCATCACCGACATGATCTCTTCCAATGCCTCCGCGCCATAATCTTTTTCATCTGACCGCTGCTGCGGCACCAACCGGTACGCCTCGTCAACAAAAAGAATCCCCCCAGCCGCCTCCAGAATTTTCCGCCGCGTTTTCGGGCCCGTGTGCCCGACAAACTCGCCCACCAAATCTGTCCTCTGAACCTCAACCACCTTATCCGTGGGTAAAACACCCACTAGATTCAACAGCCGCGCAAGCGCGCGCGCAACGGTGGTTTTCCCCGTGCCCGGGGAACCTAGGAAAGCCATGTGCGGAGGTTTGCGCGGCTGCACGCGGATTCCCAATTCCCGCCGCTTCTGATCTAAGACCAACCCCTTCGCCCACACGCGCAGCTGCTGCTTCAGTAGCGGGAGGCCTATTAACGAGGATAACTCGTTTTCCAGCGTTTGCATGACGGCGAATGCGGAGGCGGGGGAGGAGTGGGACGGAGACTGGGAGGGAGCGTGGAGTGCCACGTGGCGGTCGAGGATTCGCCGAAGGGAGGCGCGGATGCTGCTGTTGTTGCTGGTGCCTGTAGCAGAAGAGGTGCCTGATTGAATGTGACTCAATGGGGAGTTTCCGTCCTTGTCCTGCGCTGCCACGTCAGCACCGTGTTTCAACAGCAGCTCCACCACTTCCAGAATCTTCGGTTGGCCCTTGCCAGCCGGATCCTCTCCCGCGTTGCTGTCGACTGCCACGTCAGCAGTGTTGACTGCCGCCCAGACGGCGAGATGGAGCGGAGTGGCGCGATTCTGCAATGAAAGAACCAGAAAGACGGAATGAAGCGATTCTGTGGACGGAGATTAAAGTGGTGAAGCGTGTCAAGGAAGCAAAAGGATAATTAAGCGGGTTGAGATCAGCAAGGTGGACAAGAGGGAGGGCAGCCAGATGGCATGAACGGGATTAGAAGACGTCGGGATCACATAATTATCGACGCGAGCAATCCTGGTATTACTCCTTCCCCAACCCTTTCCCCATGCGCCCCCGCCGCATTCCGCGTTGCTCACCTCCTACCCCCGCCTGCTGAAAGCACATCCCCCAGCACTGTTCCCAACATTCCGACAATCCAATCCGAGTCGCCTTGCCACTCACCGAAGCAGCGGCGTTCACGGCCGCGCCGCCCTTGAGCAACGCCTTGACGCTCCTGGCGCTGCCGATCTTGGCGGCGATGTGCAGAGGCGTCTCGCCGAACTGAACGGGAAAGACGGGGAGGGGTGAGTGCAGGGGAGGGGGGAGTTGGGGAGGGGAGAAGAGGGGGGGTCTGCGCGTGAGGAAGTAGCAAAGAATAAATGAGGGTAGCGTAACAATCCAATGTCACGAGGGACGCTGAGAAGGCGGGAAGCTTGTAGGGGTGTGGTTGCGGAGGAGGGATTGGCGGAAAGAAGCAGTGTGAATCCAGCGTTTCTCACCATATTGCGCGCCTCGACATCCGCGGCAACCGCGCCTGATGCGTCTTCTCTCGTCTCCCCGTCCGCGACGCTACTCCCCGCAACTGACGGCGGTCGTCCGAGCGACAGGAGCAGACGAATTGCCTCCGCCGCATCCTCCGCCGCCGCCTCGTGCAGGGGGGTTTGACACGTCTGTTGGCGGGGACGTGGGGAGAGGCAGACACAGGGGCGGGGGAGAGGGGGGAAGGAGAGGCGGGAAGTGAAAGGCGGGGAGTTAAGAAAATGGAGAGCAAGGTGTGTGGAACTCGCGGAGTGTGTAGGAAACATGGGACGCGAGGAGTAAGCGATCTCCTGAAACCGCTCGACCCTGGTTTCCTTACTCACCAGGCTCGAGCGCGCGTTAATCAGCTCCGGATTTTCCGCCAGCAGCGCGCGAAGCTCCTCCACGTCGCCGCGCCGGGCCGCGTTGTGCACAGCGCGGCTCGTGGCGGACCGTCGCTGCATCGCGACAAATGTGGCGGGCGGGGCGGCGGCGGCTGCAGCAGGAGATGCTTTTATTACAGGAGCGGAAGGAACGGCAGGCGATGCAGGGCCAGCGGTATCGATGATGTCAGCAACCTGGTCAGCAGTTTCCGACCCCTCCTCCGGATCATCTGTTGCTGGCTCCAGCTTCAGCGTGAGCGCTTGCGCTTCTGCTACCAGACCCATCCTCGCCGCATTCTCCGCTAGTTCCTCCAATTTCCCCGCGTTTTCTGCCAGTAGCAGCACTCGTAAATCCGACACTGCTGCCGCCGCCGCCGCCATACCTGGACTGCCAGGGGATGCGGCCCCAGACCCCTCAGTGCTACTTAGATCTTCCGCTTCTTCGGAGCGCGTAGAGCTTAGACTAAGTAACGAGTTAGAGCTCCACTCAGAGGTAAGGGCCGCGGACTCCGACGTGCTTGTATCGGATAAGCTTGTATCGGAGGAACACGAGTCGAACGAGTCACTTGCCGGCGTCGTTCCCATCGCTGCAGCCGCTCGGACAACCGAGTCCTTCCACTCCATCATGGACTTGCCGGACACCGGCAACGGCTCACCGTCAGCTTCGCCGGCGACCGGCAACATGGACGGTGGGGATGGCGGCAGGTCACACGACTGAAAAACCGGAGCGAACTGGCACCAAGCCATGGCGGGAGGGAGTTTGGTGGTTGCAGGGAAAGAGAGGACGGAGCTGTTATCAGCATGCGTCCCCATTGGAACAGTCTTCTGTTAACTTGAGTGACGCAGAAATTAGTTTTAAGTTAGGCGTGTACACTACTACGCGTGGGTCGAAGACGACTGACCTAAAGGGAGCTCGAGTTGAGTTACGATCTCTCGGATGTTAGTCTATCTGCGGGCTCAGCATTGAATCGAAGCGAGACGCCCATAAGCACTAGAGAGCGAGGGCTTGAGAAGGCGAAGAAGCTAATCAGGATTCTTGCAGTGCTGTGGCCAAGACGGATCAGCGTTGAGGATTGGCACAGTGACCCTTGGTGGTGGTAAGGGCAATAGGAACCCAGGTCAGGAACCAGAGTGACTTGAAGGGTGGAGACTAGAGGGCTGGGAAAGCGACTGCTACGGAGCGAATGGCGAAGGTGGGGAAAGAAGCAGGGCACCCCAGGGTGGCGCCTGGGAAGACGGGGCGTTGATGGACGTGAAGGCCGGGGCGGAAATGGCGGTTGATTAGACAGGAGACGGAAATAGGTCAAGAAAGACGAGACAGTCAGTGTGGGGAAAATCACAGCACAGCATGGAGAAGGTTACCCCTGTGGGGAAAATAGCATTGGGTTGTGTGTATGTGCTGGGTGGTAGGGAGTGAGTGGCAGTGACGGGATGGGATTACTGAGGCTGAAAAGGCTTTTTGATACGGTTCAGCTAGATTCAGTCTGGTATCTCTTGTCTGGTTAGAACTTGTGTGGAGGTACAGTTCCCTGGTAAGCCATGCTGATCACAAACCACCAGCCTGGATCTGGATGGGCAGTGCGGGCACGAGGAAGTATGATGTGGCTATCGCGTCGCATCAGCGAGGCCATCAACTCTGTGTTGCGCCTGGTTACGATCGCAGCTCGTCGCTGATCAAAGCTTACCGTCGGATGGACAGATCGGACGAGAAGCACACTGTGAACGAGGTGGAGCCGCGGGGCGTTGATTTTCGTGCGATCCGGTCCGTCGTCTCACTGTACAAGTCGTGGTCTACAAGGGAGACCTTTGTGACGCAAAAGCAGGGCAACCAGCGAAAGTGGTCGGGCTGCCCGGACGACGTCGCGCGTGAAACAAGTCGAACAAAATGACCTCCATTAAAGATTGAACGTCGACCGTCAGATTGCATCTTGTGGTTCAGCGCGGTGTGGTAACGAGCCCATCATGGGGCTTGCGAGGCAATACGATTGGCTGTCATTGTTGTAAAAGCCTTTCAACGTGAAAACGCGGCCAGCCCTCAATTTACTGTTCCGGAGCTACCGAGCAGCCCAAGAAGGCGGTCCGGAACTTCCATTCGATGGTGGCGGCGTGACGGCCCGCATTTGTGATTCGAGCGCATGGTGCCAAACGAAGGTGCCTGTAAATCGAGAACGTGACCACCGCGAATGGAAAAATCTTCGCTACTATGAACAAGAATCTTGGGCAACGATGTGGAAGTGAAGGATTGCTTACTTGTAAACAGAAATACAAACATACTGAGGAAACACATAATTCAAAGTCCACCTTTGTCAACTACGATATATGCAACAAAGCAAGCACGCTCTGTGAAGGTGATTAGGGAGCGGGAGATCATATTGGACAATATTTGATTGCGTCATTGGATTAAATTGCTTGGAAATACTACTTGCCAAGTCCTCCAGCCAACAACGAAGAATCGACGCACTGCCTCAAGATTCGCCTAAGGGCTACTTTTGCAACTTTGGCTAAAACTGTGACACCGTAAGGCCACTGTCTCACATCAGGCCAGGTGTTCGAGCAGGCCTGTTTGCACTGGACCTGAGTGCATCCTATTCAAAAGTTTTGGACCAAATTTACTCTGGAATGATCAAACAGCTTGTGTTTACCCCATGTACCATGTCCTCAGTCTCACATGCCATGTTTTCTGGTAGCACTCACTTGCCAAGTCGAATCCTAAGCAACTACACTCATATCGTGCCATACAATTTCAGCCTACAATCACAAGTCAGTGTTTTGGGAGGCCCTCCTAACAAGCAAACAAGCAAGCCTATACGGGTAACCCACGATATGCGGAGAGCAGCAGAGCACATAATCAGGCTTGTGTGAAGTCAGATTGAACACCCCGGAGTCAAGCTCAATAGCGGTTACATCTAGCAGCACGTGCCAGCAGGTGCGCTGGGCCTCAGACACCCAGTGCAGGGAGAACGTTTGGCCGTTTGCACACATGGGGTAGGCGAAAAGACCCTGGACAGCGGACGGTAGCGGGGAGGGGGGATGGGGAGGAGCATGCGGACGAAAGACACGAGGATTGAGGTGTGCTGTTTTTTTCTGTCAGGACAGGCCCTGATGATTTGTGGCTGGCCAGAATCCTTTCTCACTCTTACTTGCAATATAAGCAAGAGCTGGAAATTTTGTTGTTGGATTTCGACTACCGGTATGATCTTACGCCTAAAGTCAACGCAGTGTTGGCTGGTCAGATTGTGCAGCTCATTTTCACAGTCAGGGTAAATCACTCTGAGAAAGGGCTCACCTTGGGGTTGGCTTTGCTCTTGCGCCGGAAGTTGGTGCTGAGCTGGCTGCCGGGCTTCTGCAGGTCGAGCCATGATAGGGGCGCCTGGATCACCTTGGAGTCCTGTAGGGAGGGAGTGAAGGAGCATGAGGGAGCGGAAGAGGAGGTGGTAAGCATAAGCGGCCAGCACCATGGCCTCCTGCACTGAAGGCGTGAATACGATGTGGTACTCCTCACTCTCCTCACTCTCCTCACTCTCCTCTCCCTCCTTTCAACCTCTAAGAACCGTTGCATGTACCTTATGTGTGGCGAACATGCTGATGCTGTCGTCGGTCTGGTCCAAGGCAGTGAGGAACACGTTGTGGCGGTGGAAGGGGTACGCCTCAGCGACCAGCACCATGGCCTCCTGCACCGAGGGCGTGAAGACGATGTGGTATTCCTCGCTCTCCACGCCGCACTGCTGCAGAATGCGCCTCCTTGCGTGCAGCTCTGTCACGCTCACGCTCATGGAGAGGTCGAGCACGTCGCGGCTCTCCACCAGGATGTCCTGAGGGAGAGAAAGTGGGAGAGGGAGGAGAGCAGGGAGGCGATGACAAAGAGGGAAGGGAGATGGTAACTCAGGAGGCCGTCTAACAGTCTTCGTCACACTCACGCTCATGGAGAGTGAGGTCCGCCACGTCCCGGCTCTCCACCAGGATGTCTTGTCCTGCGGAGGGGAAAGCGAGAGGGCGAGGAGGTAGCGAAGCAAAGAGAGAGGTGAGCGGGAAAGGGAAGAGGGGAGGGTGGAAGTAATGAAATAGAGAAGAGGGTGCAGAGGTGATGCTGTTTTCCTCACCACTCTCCATCATGATGCAGGGAGTGAAGCAAGCAGGGAGTGAAGGGGGGGGTGGGGAAGAGGAAGAGGGGGAGGGGGGGCGGGGGAATGACGAGGCATAGAGTAGGGCATTGAGACGATGTGGTTCTCCTCCCTCTATCTCTCTCTCGCCCTCTCCCTCTCCCAATGTGTCCCTCCCTTTCCCCTAGATCACCTTCCACTCACCCGCAGTCTGCTCGGGTTCAGCAGCACGCGTCCTGGCTGGAGCGTTATGTACCTCTTTTTCGTCTCCGTGAACGCACCTGCACTCTGCTCGTTACAGAAGTCCCTCGCCCGCCCTCTCCCTGCCCCTTTCCCTCTCCCTTTTCCCTTCCACTCACCCGCAGTCTGCTCGGATTCAGCAGCGCGCGCCCCGGCTGAGTCGCAGTGACCGTTCCCGACGGGACGAAGCGCGAGAAGAGCCGCGACTTGTTTTCCGACGGGGACGACGCGGAGAACGAGGGCGGGGGACCGTTGCGCTGCATCATCTTGCGCTGCTGCTCCATCTGCTGTTTCTGCTGCTGCATCTGCTGCTCCATCTGCTGTTTCTGCTGCTGCAGCGAGTCGCGCATCAGCGGAACCACGTTTCCTCCCCCCGCTGCCGTGGGACTGGTGCTGTGTGCGCGGAACTGCGGAGAGGCCGTTCCGCTGCTGCTTCCCCCCGCGCTTACGGTGCTGTTACTCCTTCCGAAAACCGCGCCCGGTCCGCCCATTCCGCCGTATCCCCCTTCCCCCTCCGCGTCCCCCTCCTCGTCATCCATCGCGAGAAGTTCCGCCATGGGGGACAACCCCCCGCCGTATCCGCCGCCGTTCCCGCCGCGATACCCGCCGCCGTCGGGCTCCTCTAACACGCACGGCATGGGGAAGCCAAGCCCCACGATGCACTCCGTGAAAATCGCCGGGTAACGCGCTTTGACGTAATCTTCGACGTATCGCATCTCGTTTTCCGAAATCGGCGCGGACCAGCGCACGTCGAGCGCCGGCTCGCCCTTGTTGCCGCGAAGCGCGGCCATGGCCTCGGCGACAATGTGCGGCGGGATTTCGACGCGGCCTTGGCTGATCTGCGGGGGAGGGGAGGGGAAAGAAGGAAGGTGAGACTTCCTACAAGACGACGATGTGCGGAAAGCGACGCGAAGCGCGGCCATGTTTTGAGACCTCTCAAAACACTTCCTTTATCACGATAAAGTGCGGAATGCGACGCGAAGCGCGGCCGTGGCTTCCGCGACAATGTGCGGAAGAATCTCGACGCGCCCTTGACTGATCTGCTCGGTGTGACGGACAGCGGGGAAAAGAGGGGGGAAGCGGGGAGGGAAGATTTTTTCTAGCAAAACCTTCGAAACTATAAATTCCCAAGTGATTGAATCTAAAAATTCGATTCGAAATGACCTCCTTACCTCGTCGTCCATGATTAATTGCTTGTGACAATGAACCGCCTCGACGCTTTAATAAACAATCGTGTTTGGTAGGTACCAACGGAATGAACTTGAGAATTCGTATGTTCTCGACCGCAATGCATTGCGTAGTGCTTGCTCCGAGGATTGCAATGGCGACCCGTCGATATCGCGGCGCAACTGTCGAAATCGGGGTTGAGTCAGCTTTGCTTGGCATTACTGTGCGACCAGAAAAAGGGAGAGCGCCGATTGAGACTCTCTTGGAAGACCAGCGACTCGAGCGTCGCGTTTTGACGGACTGTAACGTTCGACCATCACGTGCGCCGGGTAACAGCGTCGCGTAACGGCGACGCATAGACGTCGCGTGATTGAGTTGCCGCGTACTTGCGTCGGGTACTTGCCTGTCCTGACGAGCTCTTGTGTGGATCCGCAGCCGCCATTTCAATCGATTATCCCCTTGTGTCGTATCCTGTCCTGTCGTGTCGTGTCGTGTCGTGTCGCTGGTTCGTCGAAAACGCTTGCACAAGACACCGAGGGGAAGAGTCGAGAGATGATTCACGAGTTATCGCACTTGACGGGGGATACCACAACCGACCCAGGTTCAGAAACAACACTTCGCAAAGAAAACGCAGGAAGCGATGCACAAAGACTGGTCGGAAAAGGAGTTTCAACCTTCTAGTTGTCCAGTTCTGCTGCTGCACGAGGAGGTTCAAAAGGACAACTACAGAAGCTCTATGGATGACTTTCCTGATGCATGCACCGAAAACTTTCAAGCAAGAACGAGCTTGCACGAAATGCGAAAGGTGCGGTACAGTAGAAGTTGTCTCACACCCCACTACTTCATTCCTCGTCACTTGGCTGGCTGTATTGAGCTTTTGCTGCCCTCCTGGTCGTCTTTGGTCATCAGAAAACAAAAGGGGGGATGATGGGCGAAACTTCAATCCAACTCATCGGGTGTCGTTTGGTTGGCATCAAAATATACCCACCTCACCACCACCCACACACCCACACACCAGTGTCGATTGGGTGTCACTTCTACAGTTCCAGCATCTTCGACGGACGGACACAGAAGGAGAATCGTACAGTATCAAGTCTGCAAGAGTGACTGCCACTGAATCAGCACTTCGAACTAGAGTGTCTGCCGGTATTTGTATTACGCTAACCCTGAACGTTGAAGGGCTGGAAGTCGGGCCCATCATTTACAAGTCTGTCATATCTTTGGCACATGGGAGCAAGTGGGTGGGGTTTGTTGGAGCGGCTCATACCAGATCAAGTGAGTGGCAAAGCCGCCAATCCACCACGCAATTCTGAGCATTGTGTAGTTGCACTCTTCAGTTTGAGGCAACAGCCAAACAACTTGATTTGTTGTCATATTGTGGGTTCTATTCTGTGTATGTCCCAGGAACAGCGGGCAACGGAGCGTTTCTCCTAGAGTAATTAATATCAAAATATGAGTATAGATGAGCAATGGAACAGATGTGGATGGTGGATGCACAGATGTGAATGAGGGGGGGGGGGGGGGGCGAGGGGAGTCTTGATGGGGTGTCTTGACTGGGTGTTTTGATTGGTTGTCTTGATGGGTAAAGGTAAAGGAAAAGGAAATCCCCCTTTGGGTTACCCCCGGCGGCTGTCGATCTTAATCCGCCTACCCACTTGTTTACATGCCTCGCTGGGTATCTAGGTAAGGATATATCTCTTAGGAAAAGTGGAAAATGAATGAACTACTATGCACTCCTTACCGCAGCAATCGAAACATGCAGTACCGAGGCTGAAGACGAAAGGGTGGAAATGACACGAAGGGTCACACGGTTACGAAAGCATCTGGACCGTCGGGCAGACAGCATCAGGCAGCAGCAGTGGCGAGGATTCTGCCCGTACAGTTTCGTAACTGTCTGGAGTCGCACGGTTGGAATTCGCTGTAATAAGGGAATGTACCCCTTAGAGTACATGGCTAGCTAGGTCGATTGATATTCCCCTGTACTGTTATTTAAAGTGCTGTATTTGCATGTTTTTATTATCTCAAGCATTTACATTCAGTCTGCTATTGAGGTCAAGGGCCCACCACCACTAGTTAGTCCTGTGCAAACCTTCCTGAGGTGATCATGAGTTCGATCAACATCTGATCGCAGCATAGTATGAGAGCGACTCGGGAATCCTTCGCACTGCCACCTCCGAAACTTTCGGCGAACGAAAAGTGGCGTCCGGCACACGCTTGCGTGTGAGAATGGCCGGAGGATCTGGAGGTCGGACGAATCTGATGGCTGAAGCGCAGCCCAACCCAGCTGCGACAAGCGAGGAAACGACGACGATTCCTTCCGCCGTCCTTGCACAACTGCTTCAGCGACTCACAAGCCTGGAGCAAGGATTCCAAACATTGCGGAATGGCGACGCGGGAACACCTTCCAAACCCTCTCAACCGGCCTCGAACGGCCAGAATTCCGCCCCGCACACCTTCTCCCTCGACACAAGTGGCTCAACACCCAAGACTCCCCGTCCCAGCGAAGAAGCAATTCTCTCTGCGCTATCAAGGTTTTTGAGCATATCAAAAATAAAGACAAGTGTGTGCTTTTACGGCAGAGACTTCTATACCTGGAGCTTCGACGGGAGCTACACGGGACCTACTGAAGACACCGACGACGCCAGGGCAAAATACTACAATGAGTCCCTGGTGGCGTACGGCGTCTTACTGCGCAACATGTCGCCAGCGGAACAGCCGAACATTCGTTCGTACAAGACCACGGCTGCTCCTGCCCTCGACGCTTGGCGCCACCTAAACGGAGTCTACCAACCAAAGGATTCAGTTTCTTCGAGCCGCCTGCTCCAGCAGCTACTGGAGACAAAAATGGCTACTAGGGAGAAGGTCAACAGCTACATCAATCGCTGTTGGAGCCTCCGCGATCAAATCACGAAGCTAGGAAGCAATATTTCCAAAGAAATCTTCGTGAACATCGTGCTTCAAGGGCTCGGCCCAGAGTGGCGGCCCTGCAAGGCGCTTCTCCGACAGCAGGGGGTCATCTCGGAGGCCGCCCTATGCGCCGCCCTCCTCGTCGAACAGCGGGATATGGACCAGCAGCGACCAGCGCCGCAACGAGACAGGGAACGCCTCGCCTTCTACGCTGACAACACAGGAGAGCAACGGCCGCGGCGCCTCTAATGCAAAATCTGTAGGAACTTTAGGCATCTGGCAGATCGATGCAAATCCCGATCTCGCCCTCGCCAGACCAATCCGAGCACTTGGTCCGGCCGTCAAGACGCACGAAATGACACGCATCCCGCCCAGAGGTATCAACCCCCATCGCGCAACCTGAACCCAACAGTTCAGCACTAGCAGCAGCAGCCGTCACAGACTACTCCCGTCCGCAATGTCATGGGGAACATGACAATAACGAGCAGATCGCGCCGTCTGCGCGCGCGCTCACCGTCACCTGAGCCGGCGCCTCACTCACTCGGAGCGTTCTCGAACAACAATCCGTTCAGCACGCGTCACGAATTCAGCGAGGACGACAAACAAGACTGGAACCTCCCAGTCGTGCTGCTTGGAAGCCCTCCGCACGTACCTGATATGCGGCCGGCACCGATCGATTGGATCGCGCGCGAACAATTCCTCAAGGTAGACACACCGCACATCGTTACTCCGCGACTGGCGCTGCTCGCACGTAACGACACCAGGCGCTACAACACGTGGTACCTGGACAGCTGTTGTGGGCAGCACATGGTGGGTTCCGAGCGTTATATATCCAACGCCGTCGCCACCCCCGCCGTCACTTGCGTCACCGTGGCGAACAACACGCGCCTGCGCGCAAGGCATCGTTGTGCTCAAGGCATATGGGAGCAGAACGCACATCACACTGAATGATGTGTTGATCGTGCAGAACCTGCGTTTCAATCTCCTCTCGGCGGCGCAACTCATGGATTGCGGAGGTGACCTCAGCATCGACCCCGAGACGCGCGACATCCTGCTCCACTTCACGATGCCGAACAAGACGCAAAAGCAGATCGGACGAGCCCACGCCGAGAACGAAGTCTACGTTCTCGATTTCGACATTCCCGACTGCAGCGGCGACTCGCAGGAACTGATCGATCTCGTCCCCCTGCGCTTCGAACACATCCAACACTATGATTGGAAGCATCCTGATGGGCGCCCATAGGTATCGCATCACCCACATCCGCGCGAGCTGGCGCTTCACGACCCTGACCCAGACGGCGTCTGCAGGGACTGCCACACGCCCATATCCTCGACGAGCGCGATTGCCGGTCGTGGTCTCGCCGCCATCGCCGAAGAAGAACGTGAAGCACCGCCTGAAGAAGGAATGTCCAACCTGGAGCTGGAAATCGCGACACGCGTCGTCTTCGGCACGCCGGAGGACCCACTCCCTGGACCCGCATCACATCACCTTCGAGGCATGCTCCGCGGCGTTGGTTTCGGCACCTTCGATGCGCACGGCACACCGCGGCCCTACACCAAGGAAAAGGCAGCGGAGATATACTCTCACCGGCGCGACTCGAAGACGAAACTCACGGTGGCGCAAGAAGAGGAATTGGCGCGACGCGAAGTTGAGGAGCTTCGACAGAAAAGCCTCGCTGAGTCGCGCGGAACACTCGCCTGGGAGGACGACGAGGAGAGCGACTCCAATGAAGGGGGGTGGGGAAGCGCTGGCGGATGGGGAGCAAGTGACACCAGCGGCTGGGGCACCGCAACTGGCGGCAACACCAGCGGATGGGGCGCCGTATCTGGCGGCGAAACAGGCGGCTGG